GTGTGTTCCATCTGGTGAAGTCCACGTGTACAGCCTCCGTTTGTGTTGTTGAAAAAAGGTGTTTGCATGAACAAGTCGTTGGTCTTGCAAAATTCTACCAGACAAGTTCCAGCATTATTTCTGTCACCAAGGCCAAATTTTCCCACTATCGGTGATTCTTCTTTGTTTCCAACTTTTTCATTCCAGTCACTAGTGATAATTAACACATCCTGGTTGCATGTTTGGTCAATTTCAGACTGTAAAAACTTCTGGTTAGCAGACGACAAATGCCTTACCAACTACGCCAACAGAGCTCCTTATCTATTGGCTGCTAACATGCTGGGGGGCAGGGGCAAGATCAGGAATATCCAGGGCTGGGCCTGTGTCTTTGCCCCATCTGCCTACAGTCTCAGCCAAATATCGCCAAAGCCTCTTACCAAGTCTGCTTGAGGTCAGGGAACTTTCTAAAATGCCATTTTCAAAAATGTTCCTTCCCTGCTCCAAAACATGCCATGGTCCCCCTTGGCCTACCATGTGAAATCTGGTATTTAAAGACCCCACAATCCAACTGCACTGCCCATTATGCTCCTTTGTGTCCTCTGCTTCTTATTAGACAACTTGCTGTCATGAAGGAGTCCCCTTTCTGTCATGCCATGCCTTCTCCATATACAATGTCCATTTCTCACCTGACTTCTAGTCCACCTGGGTTGAATACTCTTTATTAAGTCTTTCCTGACAGTGTCTTCTCTCCTCTGACTCCAGAGCACTATGTGAATTTCTCTTACAGCCTGGAATGCTGTTTTTTGTATATGTACTCCCTCAGTCCATACCCCATTGCTCCTGCTGGACCAATATTTGACTCCAGCCCAGCATGGGCCTGGCTCCAAGTCATCCTCCATGATGCCCAGCAAGAAGACCTGAGCAATGGCCAAAGTCACAGGGAGGAAGATCTGGGGGGGGGGCAGAAAGAAGGATTTCATGGCAGTCAAAGTTGTCTCACCTTGACATGATCAGCTCCCAGAACCAGGAAGATCAAGAAGGAAGCAGATGACTCAGGGTCAGAGGGTCTTAAAGCATTCCAGGAGAATCAGATGAGGGTCTCTTTAAGGATTTCTCAGCCTAAGGGTCCATGCTCCTGACTCCCAGCCAGATATCTCTACTCCCCCCACCTTCATCTCTTCTCCAGCCAAGGGAAGACCTCTGTTCCCTGGGCATGGTTGGTTGAGAGGTTTGGGGAGGGTGATCCCAGTCTCTTGGGTGCCTAATGTGCTGGCAGATGTCTGTGAGAGCTGCCACAGCCCCAGTTAGGGGCAAGAAGAGCTCATGCCTATTTACCATCTACCATTAGATACTTCATACTTGCTATTTTCTAAAATCCAAGCAACAACTCTATGAAATATACCATTATTCACATTCTGAAGATGACAACACTGATTCTGATGGGTTAAGTACTTTCCTGAGGTTACACAGGTGATAACAGATGGAACTGGGATTCAAGCCCAGCTCTCATTCATGTTTTGTTATTTTGATTTGTTTTTCAACTGAAAATCCAGTGCTGCCCTAGAGCTTTCCTTGAATACTCCTTTGATTGTTGATCCTTGTTTTACTCTAAAGCACACAAGAGGGAGTCAGGTGTGGGTGACAGAGGGTAAAACATCAAAGTAGCTCTCCAGATGCCAAACTGGTAAAAATCAAAGAAAGTTGCCACATTCCCAACAAACTCTACTGCCATCTGTTGGTCATCTGCCATAAAAAAACAGTTGCCTTAGAGTAGTTTCAGACTCATGTGACCGACCCCATGTGTCAGGACAGAACTGTGCTCCATAGTTTTCAATGGGTGATTTTTTGAAAGTAGATTGCCAGACTTTTCTTCCAAGACATCTCTGAGTGGACTCAAATCTTTTGGTTAGCAGCCAAGGCACCACCCAGGGACTCCACAAATCTACACAGACTACAAATGTGAATGGAGGTCTGGAGAAACGCAAAGCACAACTCACACAATCATGAGCTTCAACCCTGAGTTGAAGACCCCTTCCCCGGGCTGGGCTAGTTCATATACCAAAAATTAAAGAGAGATTTTATTGAGCACCTGTGGCATGTTTAGTTGGCATCAATCAGCTTACTGAATCCTCCTAACCATTATGTAACCATAATGAGGAAACTGAGACTCAGAGAACTTGAGTGATTTAGCTATTAACTGCTCTCTGGACCCTTTATTTTATAAGAGTGTCCTTGCATGAACTCTACAAGGGCTGTGTCATAAGCAAGCTACTGTGAGTAGTCATGGCATATGTGTAACCACTGTGCATAGGTATTAAGTACTTTGTGAATTTGGACTGTTTATGTCCACACTGTAAAGGTATGTGTGCCTCACATAACAAAACCCTCCCCCAGTGTAAGCTGGTAAAGCAGCTAGAACCTGGAGAGGATGAAAAACAAACTCTGCACCTAAAGCACGAGGGAGAAATTGAAACTTTCATCATTGGGAAAAATGTCCTGCCCTACTCCCCTTCCTGGATCTAAGCTCTCTGCTTCCTTCTCCCTGAGCTACTTCTACAATCTACCCCAAAAGTGACAGGTTCAGGTGTTGGTTCAGGTGGGAGGCAGGACCTGTGTGGTAGTTCAGTTTGTGTGTCAACTTGGCTGGGCCTGGTTGAGTGGCTAGGCAGCTGGTGGTAGTTATTCCCCATGATGAGACTGGCAATCAACTCCATGGTGGGATCTACCACAAGCAGCTCAGTAGCTGCCTTCGGGTATGTGGTCTGCTTCCCATATATAAGCAGCAGCTTTGGGAATGGTCCCTAGTTTATGGCACACTTGACCCTGCATGTACCCATGTCATTGTTCAGCAGCCTGCCATGCTCTGCCAACCTTGGGACTTAAAATGGACTTATATTAATGGCCTGCTGTGTGGTTTGGTAACATCCGGACTGTGCCTTTTTACTTGTCGATCTTGGGTTTGTCAGACTCAGCAGCCAGCTGCTGTCTGAGTGAAAAAAAAAAAGCCTCTAGCTTCTGTGGGCCAGAAGCTGAACCCCAGGGTTGAGGGGCTTTCACCTAGCCCCTAGAGCCTGGCACTTAGAACTTGGACTTAACGCCTCCAAACTGTAAGAGAATAAACTCCTGTTTGTTAAGGCCATCTCATTTGTGGTATTTCTGTTAGAGTGGCACTAGGTAACCAGAACAACCTGCTTATCAGGAGGCAGTAGCTCAGCAGTTACTGAAAGGTCCTTCCAGCATGAGTGGGCCACTCAGTGGGAGCAAGGAGGCCTCTGAACACTCAGGATGGGGAAGGAGCTCATACAGTGTCTCCACCAAAAATGAGAGAAAGCACTGGGGCCCCAGAGAAGGGGAGCCATGAGCAAGGACAAAAGGCCACCCACAGGCACCCAGCCAGGCATCATGCATGGGGATGTAATCACTTAAGAATATAAAGAGGCTTGGTTAGGGGGTCGATGCACACCTGGAGCAAGGTCCAAGGATATCTCTTGGCCTATGCTGTGGAATGTCCATATCAAGGACTGGACAGGGTCATAGCTGAGGCATGTTGAGAGAAGCCTGGAGAATGAGAAAATCTCATGAAACAAGGATCAAGAGAGAGCAAGTGTGCAAAGCCTGGGTCCAAGACAAAATTCACCCAGGACAAAGGGAAGGTCATATGGTTGTACAAAGACATCAAATGCCAAGAAAAGGAAAGATGCTGAGCTGCATCTCACAAAAAGAAAAGAAACAGGATCCAGGGCCTTACAGAAGGCCTTTTATAAGCAGGATTCAGACATTTCACAGAAAAGTGGTATTCAAGCATCTCAGAAAAATGGGAATCACCAACTTATCTATAGCAATGAGCCAAGAGTGTTGATGCAACTGCCAAATAGCAAATGAAAATGAAGTCATAGAAATAGCAAGATCAGGGATCTAGGTTGGGAGATGGCAGAGGAAGGTACCATTCATGGGTAAACTCTGAAGCCCAGACTCAGCACACATTGGCAATGGCTGCAATGTTGGTGAGGGTCCTTGAAGGCACAAGAGGTGAGGAACAAAGGAAGGATGACAGTGTGTAGCAGATGGGTGGGGACCTGGCCACTGTGAGTTGTATCCAGGGGCACTAAGGGGTAATTGCAGGACCATCATGGGCCAAGGAGTATGGGCATTGTGCTTTGGGTTGGAAGACCTCTGATATTCTGCCTGTGGTTTTCAGAGGCCAATCTTGGAAGCTCCCTGTTCTCATACACCTTCCTGACCTCAGCGACATGGAAAAGAACTTCCTCTGGCTCTTGGTCCCCAGAAGAAAGCTCACTCCATGGCCTGAGGAGCCCTCAACAGGACCTAACAGCCTAGGAGAATTTGCACACTTCATGGGCAGTGCTATGGCAAGGAGCAACTGGGAACACTTCCCCTTTCCTCTCCCCCTTAGTGCTGATCGGCGTGGGCACTGAGACCTTCATCCGAGGGCAATTCAGAAGCCTGGCTTTCTATCTGCTGTGAGTATGATCCCAGTGTGTCCTCCTTGCCTGTGTGGTTTGCTCCTATTCATCTTGTATCTGTCTGCTCAGAACAGATCAGAAGAGCCTCCCTTTTCCCATGCTAATTCCATTCTATCACATAGGTGGAAGGAATTGAGGAGTCTTCTAAAATAGTACCTGGTGTGATCAGAGCTTTAGTCAACCATCTCTAAATCAACTAACTATCCTTCATACATCCATTCACTCATCCATTCACCCATTCACTTATATATCCATTCTTTTATCCATCAATCCACTCACTCATCCATCAATTCATCCATGTAGGCATCCTTCCACGTGTCTATTCATGTCTATCCATCTATTTATCCATCCACTCATTCACCCATCCTTCTATCCATATATACATACATACACACACACACACACACACACACACATATGTTCTTTTATTTATATATGAACCTATCTATTATCCATTTCATTCAGTTCTCTCCATCCATCTATCCATCTGTGTATCCATCCATTAATCCCTTCTGTCATTTCTTACTGAGTAAACATTAACTGAGCTCTTGTTTAGAGAAAAGAGAATTAGGTCAAGGAAATACATATTTGCTTTCCTTCCCATGCCAAGTTAAATGTTTTATTTACATTATGTGATTTAACTCTCACAGCCACCATGTGAGACACATATATTGGTGGAGTTTTACAAATCAGAACATTCAAAAAATCTATCAGTCCACATCACAGAGCACATGAGCATGTGAACTCCCCAGGTCCCAAGAGGCACAGCTTCTGTAGCACCAGACTGAAGTCGGAATGACCCTTTTGATTCCCCCAGCTTCAGTTTCCACCTCTGTCTCAGGACTTAGAAAAAAAAGCAATGCTGATTGACTCAAAACACATAGCTCAGTGTATTTGTTGGACACACATATCTGGAACCTCAGTGCTGGGTTCAAATTTTGCCCCTATTCCTGATCAGTTGTATGACCATAGGCAAGGGACTTAATGTATCTGTGCCTCAGTTTTCTCATCAGTAAAATGGAGGTAATTATACTATTTCTTGTAACATTGCTAAATGGATTAAATGAGTTGATATGTATAAAGCCTTTAAAACTATGCTTGACACATAGTAATTGTAATATGAAGGTAATTGTTGTTGTTGATGTGTTCCATCATGTCATTCTAACTGACAGTAGGACAGAGTAGAACTACCCCATAGGGTTTCCTGGGTTTCCTAGGTTGCAATCTTTACAGAGACAGATTGCCAGATCTTTAGTCCTGTGGGACTGCTGATGGGTTTGAACCACTGACCTTTTGGTTAGCAGCCAAGTACTTTACCATTGCACTGCCAGGGCTCCTTATATAAAGGTTAAATTGTTATCATTTTTAAAGCTGAGGGCTAAGAGTTTATTGGCTTTGGTGGCTCCGTGGTAGAATCTTCACCTTCTACACAAGAGGCAGGGTTCAATTCCTGGCCAATGAACTTCATGCGCAGCCAGCCACCACCCATCAGTCATTGAAGGCTTGTGTGTTGCTGAACAGGTTTCAGTGGAGCTTCCAAACCAAGATGGACTATGAAGAAAGGCCTGGTGATCTACTTCAAAAAATCAACCAATAAAAACTTTATGGATCACAACAGTCCAATTCACAACCCATGAGGGGGATGGTGCAGGACTGGGCAATGTTTCATTTCTTTGCGCATGGGGTTGAACAACAAGAGTTAGACAGGCACTGGGAGGCATAAAGAGAGTGGGAGAAAGTAGATACTTAAGGATTAAATGGTCATAGAGAGAGCAAGAAATGTCCATGGCTCTGGGGAAATCCTGCTCTTGTCCAGGTAAACTTGCCCCAGCCTGAGCGTTTCTGGGTGGCATATACCCTCGTGCATCTGTTCACTCCAATGCACATCCGTGGGGCTGGGCCCAGCTGCACAGAGGCATGAGACAGGGGCTCCCTTTAGGAGTTCACAGTCTGGTGGCTTTGCTAACATTGGACAACATGATGAATGGCACAGGGGGGTGGGCAGCAGGCAGACAAGAGCAAGAAGAGGGAGATATTCAAGGAGAAGAACTAGCCTCTGTAGCTAGGAACATACAGAAGTTTCTGAAGTTCTATAAATGATATTCTAAGTAATTCCAATTTTATAGGCCAGAGTAGGTTCCATTCCCAAAGATGCTGATATAAAAACACTGGGATGGGTCAGGAACCTACAATTTCGCATATTCCCTAGAAGAATCTGGTTGGAGGGGGCCTACACCACACTTGAAGAATGAGGAGACTTGAAACATCTGGGTTGGGAGGAACATGATCAGATTTGAGTGTCAGAAGAAGCCCTTAGCAACCAGGTGGTGATAGAGTAAAGAAGCAGGAGATTGGGGGGGTGGGGACTAAGGTCAGGGGTCCAGAGGGTAGGACCTGACCACATGTGATGCCCAGGAAGCCTGAGAGAACAAGAGTGATTCTAAAGGCATTTAAGCAACAGAATCCACAGATCCTAGTGGCTGACTGAATGATGAGAAAGAGGGAGAACAAAAGGGCTTGGAAATTGATAGTCTTCAGATTTGCACAGGCAGGCAACAGGGTCAGTCCTGGTCCCCAGCAAACAGAGGGATGTGCCCTGCCAGTGTCTTTACAGGGGTCCTGGAGTGAAGGTGCTCTCTCCTGCTCGACAAATGCTTCCTCCTCATCTATCTCTGAGCTTGTCCCCTTCCTGCTACATCGCTGAGCCCAATCTAGCCCTCATCCTAGTGTCCAGACAGCAGCCAGTGGATGTTGGCTGGTGGATAGCCTAGGGCCCCATGCTAAGAAATCTGGGTCAGCAGTCAGCTGCAGATACTCAGGAGACTAAGAAGGCTGTGAGGAGAGAGCTGTGGGAGAGTGAAGAGAGGGTCTGAGGGGTGTCTGAGCCCCCCTCACCTGTCTGCATCCTCAGGTTAACAGGAGCTGCTGTTTCTGTGTGTGAAGGTGCCTACTTTGTGGCTCAGCTTCTAGCCACCTGCTTCCAGTAAGTACCCCCAGAGTGGATCCTCCCCCATCAACCACCTTCTTGTCTAGGCATCCCCAGTGAGACTACGACCTATGGGATCTCCTGTTCTGACACCAGCGGCCCCACCCTGAGGGCCGTGAGCCACTGGCCCTGAGGTTTGCTGTCAGGGTAAACCAGGCTCATTCATCCTCTGTCCATACTCCCAGCCAGGGAATGAAAATACACCTTCATTCAGGGCCTGCTCCTGTTCATAGTCCTGGGGTAAGCCCAGCCCCCACCAAAAAAAAAAAACCAGCCAGTCACTGAACTCAGGTCCAAGCCATGTACAAACACAGAGAGAATTCCACAGAAGGCACAGCTGGGGTGAGCAGAGCTGGGTGGCACTCTGCCACCTGCCAATGCCACAGAGAGTCAGGGACTACAGCCCCATGCCCTGTTTCAAGATGAGAGTGCCCACCCTGCATAACATCATAAGAGTCCAATGGCCATGGGGACCCAAGACTTGCCACATGACTGAGGTCGGTAAATGAACTCTGTCATCAGTGTTGCCAAGCACTTTTGAAGTCCACACAGTATGTCACCAGGTGGTCAGTGACAGAGCTGGGCCTCAAATCCAGCTGTCCCAGTACATTGCAAGGCCACTCGTTGTCTCCCAGAGTCACTAGCCCTGAGGCAACAAGTCTTTCCTCATCTCTGCTGCCTGTCTGCTACTGCCAGATAGTCCCAGTGATTTTCCAGGGGCATAGGGAGGGAGGAGTCCTGAATCTAAAGTGGGCCTTTATCTGCTAGGGCCTCCCTGCATGCTGACCTGGAAACTGGCCAGCAAGGAGTAACCACTAGGGGGTGCCGGTGACTACACGGAGCCCCAAGCCAAGGCTGCCTTGGAAGGAAGGTGTGAGGGTAGCTGGCCTGGTATGCAATGCTTTGGGCTCTATATTAACCTGCTCACCTCCACACCCCCTGCAAAATTCACCTGGGCAGGGTGAAACTGGGCAGAGCCAAGAAGCCCCCTTTAGGTCAATTCAGAGGAGGAGACGAGGCAGGTGTTTTCCTTTCCTCCTTTGGAACCTGGAGGCCCACCCCTAAAAATGTCAATTCCCCTAAGGGCTCTGAGACAGTTAAAGAGATGTGGTCCCAGGCATAAGGCAAGGCTGGTCTCAGCCCCCTCCTTACCTGCCTGGCAGGGCCCTCTGTGCAGAGCCCCATCTGCACACCTTCCTGGCAGAAGATCTGTAGTCCACACCATCTCACTCCACTTTTGGCTCCACAGTGAGCCCTGAGCTATTCTCCTATCTACTGTCTTGGGCAGGATAGGACAGCATTTGCCTACCTTCCCTTTGGACCTAAGTAGGCTTTCAGAAAAGTAATGTGGTTCCTCTGGAGGGACTTAGGCAAGATCCCTAGCTGTGGTGCTCACAGTGAGGAACCCTAGGGCTCCCAGGACTCTAGACCCTGGGGCCATCACAGAGGACATTACCACAGCAGAGCCCAGCACCAGCCTCTCACAGCTTCCATGGGGAGCCAGAGCTGAGCCTGAGCTAGCAGCTGTCTCTGGTATTTCAGGGGCTTTCCAGGGATGCCTGTTGTTATGTGCCGTCGAGTCAGACCAGACTCACAGCGACCCCTCCTTGGATTTCTGAGGTGATATCACTATGGAAGTAGATTGCCCAACCTTCCTTCCAAGGAGTGCTAATCCTGGGACTCCCTCTCCCAGGTGTCAGCCAGGGTCCCTCGCCTACAGGACAAGGGAGAAGGCCCGTTGGCTGGGCTGCTTCCAGAAGTTCCTGGCCTACCTGCTGCTGTCTGTGGCCTGCTTCCTCCACCCAGTCCTGGTCTGGCACGTGACCATCCCAGGTATGGAGACCAAGAGGTCATAGAGGGTAGTGTCTCTGAGTGGAAAGGGCTGGTCTCCCTCTCTGTTCTCCTTCAGGGAAAAGATCTGCTCTGAAGCTGTCTCCAGGGCCTGCATCAGCACCCCTTGTCAGCTCCCTGGCATACAGCCTGAGGATGAGGAGTCATCAGATGTCCTCCATCCTGGCCAAGTGACAAGGTCATTGCAAGAAGCAGCATCCTTTGTGGAGGTAGCACAAGGCTGCACCCACACAAGAGGATGCTTCATTTCTCACATCTACTCTGTGATCAGAGCTTACAGAGGGCCTGAGTTGGGCCCCTTCTCTAACAAACCCTTCTAGTCTCCCCAGTGGCTAGCAATTTAGTCCTAGACTCCTCAGCCTGACTTCCAGCCACCACATGATTGACCTCAAAAGACCTCACCTCTACATCCTACCCAACCCCCATAGACCCTACGAGTCCTCTCAAATCCAGGACTCAGTGCTCCCACTGCTTTGTTTTTGTCCATGACCGTCTCTTCTAGCATCCTCCTCCTCCCTCCTCTCTCTCTGTGAAAATGTACCCTTCCTTCATAGCCCATTTAAAGTGCCATGAGGCAACCAGGGAGAATGAGCTCAAAGGCAAAGCCATCCTCAGCCTTTCTGAGATCTTGTTGGATGCACCTGGGCACTGCTCACTTTGTATAAGCCCTGCAGGTGAATGCCTGAGAAGGACTCAGCTCTGACCAAGGCCAGAACTAGCCACAACCTCTGTTTCTTGGTGAATAGCAGAAATACAGGAGGCTGTGGTCCTGGCAAGCAACATGACCTTTTGTCCCTTTCCTTCTGAGATGGAGCAAGGCTCATGCAGGAGACAAAGAACAGCATGGTCCTGGTCTGGGCCCACAAGAAGAGCAAATACCATGCTAGCTACACCCAAAGGATTGGGGGAGGTTGAAGTGGAGAAGTCACCCCACTTCTGGGACTGAAAGGAAGCCCAGTCCAGTAGGGCCCAGCAACAAAAATAGGCTCCAGACTCATGGAAGACATCCCAAGTCCAGCCCAACAAGCCATCCTGAGAGGGAGGCAAGGAAGCAGGGTAATGTGAGGCCAGGCAGCAGCATCAAGTGGATGGTCAACAAGCAGGGGCCTCAGGCAGAGGGACTAGGGGAGGGGCCTCAGGCAGAGGGACTAGGGGAAGGGCCCCAGGATCCAGGCAGAGCTTTTCTTCAGGTTTCCAATTCAGGGCTAGCCCCTTGGCAGGTAGTCACTGTGCTATTTCCATGCCTTAGCATGGAGGCAGGCCACCTTGTCCCTGAGACTGATTGTGTGTGTGTGTGTCAAGTGAGCTAGGTCTAAGGGCTGGGCTAAGGTGTCTGGCCATGGCCACATAGCATCTTGCTTCAGTGTCCCTTTTAAAAGGTGGTTTGGATAGCCTTCGGGTTTCCCACCACCACATCCAGCACCCTTGATATCCCGACTCTTTTCCAGGCTCCATGCTCATCATCACTGGCCTGGCCTACTTCCTGCTGAGCAAGAGGAAAAAGAGCAGAGCAGCTCCCCAGCGACCAGCCTCCCCAGAGCACTACACTGACCCCTCCAGCAGTGCTGTAAGCACCACTGGCTCTGGAGATACTGAGCAAACCTACACATTCCATGGGACACTCAAGGAGGGACCAGGCTCCCTCCTAACCCACATGAAGAGCATCCTAAAGGGAACTAAGAAGTCCAGTGCCCACCAGCCACCAGACACCCTGATGGAGCTGACCCTGGAGCCCACAGACACACTGGGCAAGAAGAAGCAGGTGCACTTTGAAGAGAAAGTGGTCAAGATCATTCCATCACTTGCTGAGGGCCTGGACGATGGGGACAGTGAGCCAGAGGAGACCACCTCTGACACTGTCCCCATCATCCCCCCACCCCAGGCCCCACTGTTCATGTCCTCTCTCACAGCCACAGGCCTCTTCTGAGCCATTTGCTCCCCCTGGGCTACTGACTGGGAAAAGTCTCTGCAAAGCAATGGCTCTGCCTGCAGTTTCCCAATATGTGAGGTCCTATAGGAAGCTTGGAATCTTCACAGGTCACCTTTGGAAGGGGCGACTCGACAGCCCCCAGTAGCTGGGCCTCTGAGGACATCAGGGGTGTGACATGTCAGAGTGGTACTGCAAAGGCCCCCATAGAGGCACAAAGGAGACTTTCCCTGCCTCAAATCAGCACGGGCTTCTCCCTCATGGCCAAAGAATGTAGAAATCCTTGCACTTTCCAAAAGGAGAGTGACTCCCACTTCATACAAGTTTACAGTGTCCACCTCCTCAGCCCCAGAAGGGAAAGACTCTAGTAGATACCACTGGGCTTCCCTTGCTCCTGATGCAGGACATTTCATTCACCAAGACCTATCATCTACCCCATCTCTGAGACAGTGTTCCACCTCCCAAGGTCCAGAGACACACTGGCAACTTAAGCACTTCAAAGGTGGTTGTTAATGGTGGCTGCAGATCCCAACTGAGTTTTCTCAGGGTGGGAAAGGGAAGAGGAGCAGGGCCAGGCAGTAGACAGCAGAAAGAGGTCCAGAGCCATTCAGGAAACAATGCTGATCTGTGCTTACAGAGTGGAAGGCCAGACTAGTGAGCCAAGTTCATTCCAGAAGTTGCACTGAGGCTCCCCACATCCTCATCATAGGGATGTTTTCAAGATTCCAAGTAGATGACATAAACTAGTGAAGACTGAAAAGCCTATGGCAATCTTTAGGATCCAGTCCTTGCTGCTCACCGGGCCCTAGAAACACAGAGAGGGTGCCCTGAGATCCATAGAGCTCAGGGAAGGGGCTTTGCCATGCATGGGGGCCTGGAAATGGACAACAGATAATATATATTTTTTGAAAATGGGAGGGAAGAAGAAAGTGAGCTGGCAGGCAAGCTCTGCCTTGAGACTACAGAGAAATGAGTCAACCCACAATGAACAAAATGATTGGATCAGATATTCCTAAATAAAGGGACTTGAAATACAGTTTTTACTTCTAAAAATTATACTTTCACTTGTAAGCTTTCTGCAAGGAAGAGCACTTTATTCCTCACAGGCAATCTCAATTAATAAGCCATCTTAATAAGAAGCAATTCCATGTCCTTGTGTGTGAACACATGCCAGCATGGCTTAGGGTATATATTTTACTGGGTAGATAAGAATGTGATGTTTATTCCTGTAGACTTTTCAGCATCCCCCAAAAGTTACCTTGCAAATGTGTGGAAGTAATGGCCCATGGGAAGCCAGTATCAGGCCGGCGTCTAAATGTAGGTGTTCCAGATAAGCAGAGCCCTTGCCTGCAATGATCCAGTTCTTCCCTAAAATCAGATGAGAAAAGGCAAATAAATGGATCCCCGTAAGTTCTTGATCATAGGAACAGCAGAGGAGCGGCCTCCAGGACCTCAGAATCCACAGGCAGGAAGACTGAATAATACAAAACATGCCAAATTCTTAATGGGCCAGATGTCCTGGGCCTGCCCCCGTGTGCATAGAAGGAGCACAGGTGGGTAACAGTGAGGCAGGAAGAAGGCAGGAGCTGTCTGTCATGTGAAGAAGAAGAATGAAAATGCTACAGAGAAACTTACTGCAAAGGCATTGCAGATCTGGGCACCTGGAACCTCCCACTGACCAGCACAGCTCCATCCTCAGAGCCAGTGGGGCTTGATGGCCCAGTTTCCAGAACCACAATCTAAGTGTGACATCATATCTGTCAGAGCCCGTTTGACAAGCACATTTGTAAACCTGCAGGAGCATTCTTTCCAAAGCATCTTAGAAGTGTTGGAGATTCCAGGTGACATGATGTGTGAGGTCCTTATTCTTAGATGTTCAGGCTCCTGGCCCCTGTCTTTAGTAAAAGGAGAAACTTCTGGGCATACCACATTAGAAGCTCAGCGTGTGAGGAGCTTACCCTGGTTGGCAAAAGAGGGCATTCAAACACTTTTACCAGTTATCACCAAGTTGATTCTGACTCATGGCAATCCTATGTTTTCAGAGTAGAACTGCTCCATACGGTTTTCAAAGCCATGACCTTTTGAAAGCATATCACCAGGCCTTTCTTCAAGGCACCTCTGCATTTGAACTGCCAACTTTTCAGTTAGAAGTTGAGCACTTAACAGTTTGTGCCACCCAGACATTGCTCACTCTTACTGCTGCCAAAACAAAACAATAAAAGACCCAGATGAGGTCGTTAGATAGACCAGGGCCCTCCCTGTCAGTAGGCCAGGCTAGTAGATGCCTTCCTCAGAAGCACTCCATTTTATTCTAAGACTGAGATCTTCGATGACCATATGCTTCCCCATTGGCCTCCCTACAGAGTAGGCATGTGATGACCCTTGTCCTTGCTGACATGGTTATAACTAGCCTTCCTTTCTCCACAAAAACTAGAGCAGAGAAAAACACTGGGCCAGGTATCAGTAAACTTGGCACAATGCACTGACTGGCCTCTCTGTGAATAGCAACACTAATAAGTATGAATAGCAGCACTTCTCTCTCAGGATTGGTGCAGCAACTCAGTAAGACAGAAGGCAGTAAGTGTTTGTCAGTTTATAGCTGAACTGAGTGGGAATGCACATTCCTATTAGTGTGGGGGCTTCATGGGACAGCCTCAAGTGAGCAAGCACAGAGAAAACACCAGCAAGACTTATACTTAGGGCAAGACTAGTTCATATCCCAGAGCTTCTTCCACAACTCCAAACTCCAGGGCTTGAGCCTGGGGAGAGTACAAATCCCCATCTTCCCCACACCATAATTCCCACTCTGACTTAGATAAAGAGCCACCGCTTACCCCCTAATCATGAGGAACCATGCCATGGAGGTCACCCTATGTGTCCTCTCTCTAGTTTTCTTTCAACCTCTTTAATGTCTTTATTTTGATCTAATTTACATACCATAAATTTCACTTATTTAAAGTGTACAACTCAATGATTTTTAGTATGTTCATTGAGTTGTACAACTCTCACCACAACCTAAGTTCACAGCTTTTTCTTAGAACCATATTTTTTCTTATAACTTTTTATTGCGATTTGGGTAAAAGTTTACAGAGCAAATTGGTTTTCCCTTCAACAATTCATGCACATTCTGTTGTATGAACATTGATTGCAATCCTTACAATATAGTGGCACTCTTCCTAGTTCCTCCTTGTGTTTACTCTTTCCATTTGTCCTTCTTTTCTATCCTCTCCTGCCTTCTGAGCTTTATCCCTGGACAAGTACTGACCTTTTGATCTCTCTCTCTCTCTCTCTTAATTAAATTGTGCTTTGGGTACAAATTTACAAAGCAAATTTGATATACATTCAACAGTTCATGAACATTTGATTTCATGGCCCAATTACCATCCCCAACCATAAAAATTCTTCTCCCCTCCCCTCTCTGTGACTACTCCCTCCCTGTGCCTTTCTTAACTATGCACTCCTGTCTGTCCAGCTTTCCCTCCATGTGAATGCTGCCTCTCTGGTATCTCATGGCTGATTGATCTAAGGGGTGCATCTCCCTAGAGTAGATGAGTGCATCACCCTGGGGTAGGTGTTCTGCATGGAGGTCTTTCTACTATTGGGCTGAGAGCCAATCCATGGAAGTGAGTCCATTTCTAGGCCCAAAGAGTAACCTGGGGCCATAATTTCGGGAGTTCCAGCAAGTTCACAACTTTTTGAACTCATACTAATTAGCAGTCACTTCCATGCCCTTAAAAAAAAAAAAAAAAAAACCACCTCATTGACATCGAATCAATTCCAACTTACTGAATTTCTAAGGCAATAAATCTTTACGAAGGAGCTCTGGTGGTGTAGTGCCTAAGGCTAACCAGAAGGCTGATGGTTCAAACCCACCACCCACTCCTCAGAAGGAAGGTTGGCAAATCTACTTCTTTAGAGATAACTCCTCAGAAACCCAAGGAGGGGTTGCTATGAGTCAGATATGACTTGATGGCAACAAGTTTGGTTTTTTGGTTTTTGGTTTTGTTTTGCCTTTGGGAAATCTTTACGGAAGCAGATTGCCTTATCTTTCTTCCACAGAGCAGCTGGTGGATTCAAACTACCAACCTTTTGGTTAGCAGCCAAATGCCTTAACCACTACACCACCCATGCTCTTTTTCTTTTCCCTAGGCAGCTACTAATCTTTCTGTCTTTATGTTCTTGCCTAGTCTATATTTTCATGTAAATGGAATCACACGATATGTGGTCTTCTGTGACTTCATATGTCACTTAGTATAAATTTATCAAGGTATATCCATGTTATAGCAAATATCAGTACTTCATTTTTTTTCATTGGCCAATAATATTCTACTTTACGGATATATTACATTTTGTTTATCCATTCATCAGCTGTTGGACCTTAGGGTTATTTCTACTTTGTGAGTATTATGAATAATGCTGCTATGAATATTCATGTATAAGTTTTTGGGTGGACATATGTTTTCACTTCTCTTCTATGTTTTCCCAGGAGTTTAACTGCTGGATGGTACGTTAACTCTAAGTTTCATTGTTTGAGGAACTGCCAGAGATGCAAAACTGATGCACCATTTTATATTCTCAGCATCAGTGATACTTATTACTTTCTTTTTGATTACAGTCATCCTAGTGGGTGTGAAGGAGCTCTGGTAGCATAGTGCCTATGACACTTGACTGCTAACCAGAAGGCTGGCGGTTCAAACCCACCAGCCACTCCTCGGAAGGAAGATGGTGCAATCTACTTCCGTAGTGATACTGCCTCAGAAATCCAAGGAGGGGTCACTATGAGTCGGGTCCGATTCCACGGCACATAAGAACAACAACAACAGTGGGTGTGAAATAGTATCTCATTGTGGTTTTGATTTACATTTCTCTCTGGTAGCATACTGGCTAAGGCACTTGACTGCTAACCAGAAGGCTGACGGTTCAAACCCACCAGCCACTCCTTGGAAGGAAGATGTGGCAATCTACTTCCGTAATGATACTGCCTCAGAAACCCAAGGAGG